TACATGGTCGTTTTTTGCGGCTAAAAACGCCTGACTGTAGCTGGTCGTTTTTTTCGTCTAAATACGGCTTACGATACATGGTCGTTTTTTTCGGCTAAAAACGCCTGACTATACATGGTCGTTTTTTTCGTCGAAAAACGCCTTACTATACATGGTCGTTTTTTGCGGCTAAAAACGCCTGACTGTAGCTGGTCGTTTTTTTCGTCTAAATACGGCTTACGATACATGGTCGTTTTTTTCGGCTAAAAACGCCTGACTATACATGGTCGTTTTTTTCGTCGAAAAACGCCTTACTATACATGGTCGTTTTTTGCGGCTAAAAACGCCTGACTGTAGCTGGTCGTTTTTTTCGTCTAAATACGGCTTACGATACATGGTCGTTTTTTTCGGCTAAAAACGCCTGACTATACATGGTCGTTTTTTTCGTCGAAAAACGCCTTACTATACATGGTCGTTTTTTGCGGCTAAAAACGCCTGACTGTAGCTGGTCGTTTTTTTCGTCTAAATACGGCTTACGATACATGGTCGTTTTTTTCGGCTAAAAACGCCTGACTATACATGGTCGTTTTTTTCGTCGAAAAACGCCTTACTATACATGGTCGTTTTTTGCGGCTAAAAACGCCTGACTGTAGCTGGTCGTTTTTTTCGTCTAAATACGGCTTACGATACATGGTCGTTTTTTTCGGCTAAAAACGCCTGACTATACATGGTCGTTTTTTTCGTCGAAAAACGCCTTACTATACATGGTCGTTTTTTGCGGCTAAAAACGCCTGACTGTAGCTGGTCGTTTTTTTCGTCTAAATACGGCTTACGATACATGGTCGTTTTTTTCGGCTAAAAACGCCTGACTATACATGGTCGTTTTTTTCGTCGAAAAACGCCTTACTATACATGGTCGTTTTTTGCGGCTAAAAACGCCTGACTGTAGCTGGTCGTTTTTTTCGTCTAAATACGGCTTACGATACATGGTCGTTTTTTTCGGCTAAAAACGCCTGACTATACATGGTCGTTTTTTTCGTCGAAAAACGCCTTACTATACATGGTCGTTTTTTGCGGCTAAAAACGCCTGACTGTAGCTGGTCGTTTTTTTCGTCTAAATACGGCTTACGATACATGGTCGTTTTTTTCGGCTAAAAACGCCTGACTATACATGGTCGTTTTTTTCGTCGAAAAACGCCTTACTATACATGGTCGTTTTTTGCGGCTAAAAACGCCTGACTGTAGCTGGTCGTTTTTTTCGTCTAAATACGGCTTACGATACATGGTCGTTTTTTTCGGCTAAAAACGCCTGACTATACATGGTCGTTTTTTTCGTCGAAAAACGCCTTACTATACATGGTCGTTTTTTGCGGCTAAAAACGCCTGACTGTAGCTGGTCGTTTTTTTCGTCTAAATACGGCTTACGATACATGGTCGTTTTTTTCGGCTAAAAACGCCTGACTATACATGGTCGTTTTTTTCGTCGAAAAACGCCTTACTATACATGGTCGTTTTTTGCGGCTAAAAACGCCTGACTGTAGCTGGTCGTTTTTTTCGTCTAAATACGGCTTACGATACATGGTCGTTTTTTTCGGCTAAAAACGCCTGACTATACATGGTCGTTTTTTTCGTCGAAAAACGCCTTACTATACATGGTCGTTTTTTGCGGCTAAAAACGCCTGACTGTAGCTGGTCGTTTTTTTCGTCTAAATACGGCTTACGATACATGGTCGTTTTTTTCGGCTAAAAACGCCTGACTATACATGGTCGTTTTTTTCGTCGAAAAACGCCTTACTATACATGGTCGTTTTTTGCGGCTAAAAACGCCTGACTGTAGCTGGTCGTTTTTTTCGTCTAAATACGGCTTACGATACATGGTCGTTTTTTTCGGCTAAAAACGCCTGACTATACATGGTCGTTTTTTTCGTCGAAAAACGCCTTACTATACATGGTCGTTTTTTGCGGCTAAAAACGCCTGACTGTAGCTGGTCGTTTTTTTCGTCTAAATACGGCTTACGATACATGGTCGTTTTTTTCGGCTAAAAACGCCTGACTATACATGGTCGTTTTTTTCGTCGAAAAACGCCTTACTATACATGGTCGTTTTTTGCGGCTAAAAACGCCTGACTGTAGCTGGTCGTTTTTTTCGTCTAAATACGGCTTACGATACATGGTCGTTTTTTTCGGCTAAAAACGCCTGACTATACATGGTCGTTTTTTTCGTCGAAAAACGCCTTACTATACATGGTCGTTTTTTGCGGCTAAAAACGCCTGACTGTAGCTGGTCGTTTTTTTCGTCTAAATACGGCTTACGATACATGGTCGTTTTTTTCGGCTAAAAACGCCTGACTATACATGGTCGTTTTTTTCGTCGAAAAACGCCTTACTATACATGGTCGTTTTTTGCGGCTAAAAACGCCTGACTGTAGCTGGTCGTTTTTTTCGTCTAAATACGGCTTACGATACATGGTCGTTTTTTTCGGCTAAAAACCCCTTATTATACATGGTCGTTTTTTTCGTCAAAAAACGCCTTACTATACATGGTAGTTTTTTTCGGCTAAAAAACGACGTGTTTCGCTTTCAACATAGCGAGTAGGTAGAGAAAAACACACCAAAGATCCCGACTGTGACACAAATGTCCTTTTAATAGGAAGCAGATCAGTCAGGCTGCATTCTAGTTCAATCAATCAGAAAAATCAATTATGATAGGAAACCAATTAGAAACATTCTTAGTAGAAAATAATCCTCTCATGCGAATTCTGTGTTCACACTACATTCATAGTTGTTACAGATGACATATTCACAAGCTTGAAAACAAACGTGGATGATTCATCATTACACAGCAAATGTTTTATTTTCCAAAAACAAAAGGGCAACATAAGATAAAGGGGATGCGTGCTGGCACACTAAATTCCCATCATGCATTTGTGTTTTCTATTCACAGGGGTGGTCATCATGTCTGCGTGCAACGCATGCATGTGTGTCATCTTGACTTGGCCGTTTGTGCTTGAGCAGAGACTGCCATGTGGTTGACGCTATACGCCATGAAGCGGGTAATGAAGCCCTCGGTTTCTTTTTCGGTACAGATTGCAACTTCACATAACTGAGTTTTCAAAGGCATAGATGACAAACGCACGAAGACTACGTCACAGCACACGCTCCTCAAAAATTGAACATGGAGTATGGTTCGAGTTCTGGGTTTCCCAAACTAAGGGTTGGTACTGTCGGGGAAGCTTTTTGAGCACCCAGTTGTCACAGTTATGTCATGGTGAGAAAGGATTCTATTTTTTTTTTAAGTCAGACTAGACATATTTATTGTCTGTATTTATTCTCACTTTAAATTTTGGTAATAAGGCAGTTTAAGCACGTGACTATTTTTTTTCTTTGTTAAAAAAAATCAGTTACAATGTTCAAAACTGGTATGTGTGTGTCCCGCTTAAGTTTTTGGTGGGTGGGGGGGAATCAAACATCTAATTTGAGTGTTGAGCTAAGAAAATAAAAGAAATAAAAGTTTGGGAAACCCCGTTACAGATAATGGCCTAAAGATGTTTCTCTTGGAGATACAGTGAATACCATTCATCGTGATTGTATTGCGGTAGAAATATGTGATAGGCCAGCAGTGTTTGGTCATAGTCAATGACATCATGACATCAATCGGACCACACAAAAGACGCTGTGGACTAGGCGGTGGATGTCAGCCTTTTCTTTTTTTTTTTGCAGTGGACATAAATTAGCTCATAAAATGCTTGGCGGCGACTCTGATGGCTTGTCGAGTAAGAGCTCCGGTTGGTGCAAAGTGGGTCCTTCTCAAGGCAAATAGTTGTCTAAGGACACAAACACATTTCATCTTCAACAGGTCCAAACAAAAACAGACCAAAAGTGAGAGGAAATGATGGGGACTGCATTTTATATTGCGCTTGGTTCTTGCGTGGATCGGCAGCGCATTCGTATTGCTCACAATTTCAGGTCTTTTTGCGCAGCGACAACCTTGACCTGCTCCACATTTGACCAAATGCAGGTGGGTTGGGGGGGGGGGGGTCTGCTAGCCCTTTTTGTAAGTGCAGTGGTACCTTGACGTACGAATTGAAATCATGCCACGATCAGCGCTCAACTCAAAACACTCATCTCAAATCATTCATCGGCGGCACACACATACCTAGCTCAGGTTTTTCACTGATTTTACATTTAAATTCAACGGGCACCATCTGCTTTATCTGCTTCGAATTGATTTTAGCAAAATACCTGCATTAAAAAAAAAAAAAAAAAAGAGGAAAATATGAGCACAAAACACAGACTTACTTTGAGGTAACCACATGAACTGATAGAGGCCGGATGTTGTGGATTTTGTTCCAGCTATTGAGTGGCGGGGAGGCTGATGCTCAACCGTAAATGATTGAAAAAAAACCTCCCAAAACAACAACAACAAAATAAACAAGTGACAGCTCGTAAGTTGGGTCACCTGTACGTCAAGGTACCACCGTTCAGTTTCTGTGCTCCACGCTTGTGTATTATAATCACACAATGGACTGCAACATGGCTTTGAGTCAAATCCCAGATGAAATTTACGATACACGCATCATGCTCACGCTGGGCAAATGTTGGAGGCAGCCATTTTACTGGGAGGGGGTGAGCGGTTGCCGTGGTTACAGCGGGTGAATCACAGTGTTGGTAGGAAGGGTCAACATGCAGGACGTTAAAGACTGACGGACACTGATCTCAGGTCAGTAGGGTTCTCGTCAAAAATATAAACGGGGGTGTCCAAAGTCTGGCTGCAACTGTCTTATGATTTCAAGAAAAATGAAACATGAAGGGGATATTGAATTTTTGGTTGCTTGTAGACAAATTTCTCAACTGTCTGACTGCATGAAGCGATTTTGAGCTTTACAAGCGTTTTCGATTCTCCCTTTGGGAGGCTTGCTTGGGGGCTGCGTTGACCGGCCACTCTTGCTACTAAAAGTGTTTTCAAAATCAAACTGCGTATCCACGTTGTGGCATTTTTGTTTTCTTTTGTGGCGAAAGATTTTTCCAATGTAAAAATTGTGTTTATAAATTTACAATGTGATTGGTATGGAAAGTCATTAGCACATTTACTCAATGAGCATTATTCAATGAACATTTTTTTTTTAACACTACTTTCTAATTTTGGCCCACGAGTACCCAATTAAACCTAACTAGTAAGCATGCGTCATGCACTAGTAGCCTCCTGGATGCTAGGCGCACCAAAATCCCCAAGCTATGCTTTTAAGATGGACCTGACGTTTTCTTTCCTCTTGCTCGGCGTTGTTTGGACACCCCTGTTAACTGAACGAAACTTCTCTCAGACTCGCGGCCCGAGATCCACTTCACACAAGACGGGCAGGCGGTGGAAGAACAACGCGCAAACACACAGACAGACGTAGCATAGAGTAGCGACGCTCTCCTTGAATATGCAGGGAGGCAAAAGTGCAAAAGTGGTCATCCTCCGACTCTTCATGTGTCTTGTCATGATTTTCACATCTAAGTGTTGGCTGTAGAAAAAAAGTGCGACGTTAGTATCACGAGTGTGGCTAACCTGAAGCTAAGAGTCAAAATGTGTCCAAAGGAAAGATGAATTTGTAGAAAGATATTCTGCCCTCAATGTTGCAAAAAAAATGACGGCGAAAGTATTTACAGCGGCGCGTTTGCAGGCGCGTGTGCTTGTGTACCGCACGTGGTGGGGCCCCGTCCCCCCCCGGCCCCCCTCAGCTGCGGCCCTCCTCGGCCGAGCGCTGGTCCGACTTGAGCTTGACGAACTCTTTGGCCACGTCGTCGTTGTTGCGCTGCGACAGGATGCGCAGCACCGTCAGGCCCGTCTCGTCCATGTGGACGCGGCGGCCCAGCGGCAGCCAGCAAGTGACGTTGGCCTTGTTGGCAATGTCCTTCACCTGCAGCACGGCCATGCCCACCGTGCGGTCCTCGCGGGCGAAGCAGTAGTCCTTCACGCACACTTGCAGCTCGTAGCTCTCGGGACCCACCTCGGTGCCCAGTGAGCTGAAAACGAGATGCGACACTGCTGGAAGCCTCAAATCCATAACATTTTTTTACGATTAACTATTTATTTTTAAATAATAGTTTCTGTGAATATTCGATTATTTTTGGCAAAAAAAAAAAAAAAGAAGTTTGATGAGATTTGCTTAAAAAAAATGTATAGAGACGATAGTTCTGATTCCTTTTAGTCACTTTTGTCATCTAATTCGTCATTCAATATACCATAAAAATTCCAAATCCTTTCTGAAAAAGTTGTGTTATTCTGCAAATGTCCTAAAATGGTGCCAAAGCACTACTTTTCCAACAGAAAGGACGATGACCTGACTAAATGAAGCTCCTTCCCTCATGTCTACATAGTTCCTTGTCACCAAGATGCCCGAGATGGCGCCAAATCACTTTTTTATATTCGCAATTTTGCCCAAAGAGGAAAATCAAGACTATGCAACGGACGCATGTACAGGATCGAATCAAATGAATAAAAGAACGGGCCCATCCTAAAATGTTTTTGCCGCATCAGCGCATTGCCATCAAGTTGATACTCACTACTGGAAGCTCTCATTGAATTTGGGGGACCAGCTGTTGTTCTTCGATTTGGTTGCAAACTTCCTTTTCTTGTCACTAAGGTGAGGCCCGATGATGTAGACCTCCACGAAAGGCCGAAAACCCTGCGCCCTCCATTTCAAGTCGTTAGCGGCCACCACTGGAGAAAGAACTTCAGTTACGGCGGGTGGGGGAGGGGGCCAGAATCGAGGAAGAAATGCCAACATTGAGACCAGCTGCTATTTGCTTTACCTTTGATGCTGATCTTGTGCTCGCCGTTAGGCTGAGGTAGAATGTCCACATGCATGACCACCTCTCCAACTGCGTCCACCCCCGATGCTGCAAACGCAATCAGATTTCCGTTTTAGCAGTGTGGACAGTTGACAATGATGAGACCAAAAAAAAAAAAAAAAAAAAATCATCAGTAGCACATACGTTTCTCTGGTGGTGTGTCTTCATTTGCCGTGTAGCGGATCCCTTTGCCTCCGTGGACTGAAAGCACACAGTTGAAGATGTTTGTTCGACTGGCAACAAGCGATTAAGTCTTTCATGCACCCTGTGACCCGATAACATGAGAAGCTCTCCACTGTGGTAACCGCTGTCCCCCCGAAAGGCTTAAAATGTTCAGTGGTGTCAAATTAGACGTGTGAGTTCAGTGTGTTTGACATCTGTCATACCCTGAGCATGTTGGGAGAGAACAAACTTCCTGATGAGTTTGTCCGTGGCCTGTGTGTACAGAGACAAGGCGTAACGCAGAGACGCAAGGTCTGGACTCTTCTCCAAGAAGGTTTTCTTCAGGCCTACGCCGCCGGCATGGAAGTATTGCTGCGCGAATAAAAACAGCTTTCGTCACAAAGGTGTATCTAAAGCCGTGAGCACATGATGAGCATTTTAGCTTTGGAATCGTGAGTCGGTCGTAAAAAAAGGGCTGTACCTTAATGGTGTCGAGTGCCAGTTCGATGACCGCACACTGTTTGGGAGTCAAAGCTTTGGCCTCCTCTCGGCCCATGTGCTCCTGCAAAAGGACGAGTGTTTACAGCGCGTCTGCTGTTGACTGGCTCGTCCGACGTTGTGGATGTCGCTTTTGTTACCTTGAGCTTGGACAGTTGGCCTAATTCCTTAGCAGCATTGAAGATCATCTGAGTGCCCTGAGGAGAAAAAGGCAGACAATTGAGAGGCAAATTCACACTTAAAAAATACAAAACGTATTCAGGATGCATGAAGGAGATTTTTTTTTTCTTTTTTGTTCCTCAAATAATTCGTCACAAGGCTCATCGTATTTGACTTTGGAAGTTCGGCAGCTGAGAAGTCGAGAGAGATGAATCACCCACCGTTTGGTCGGTCAGCGTAGGAAGCACAATGGTTTTCTCCATGGTATTCATGACCAGTTTCCACAGCTCCTTCAGCACTCTCTTCAAAACGGTCTTCTCGCAGATTTTCGCAAACAACGAAAGGCTGCGGCGCAAAAAGAACTTCAGGTTAAGATCGCGCCGTCACGAAAAATACTCTTGGACGCTCCGGCCCGACTCACTTGCTGTCCAGAAAGTCCATGATGGGCTGCAGAACATTGTCTGCTTCCTGAACTACGCTGCCATTTGCCGGCACGGTCTGACCTTTGACCTGGGCCAAGATGTCCCCCATCTGTCTGACGTTGTCCTCGATTTGGGGCTGGAAACTACAGCAAAGAACAGATTGATGGCAACTCTTGGGGCTTGGCAAGCAGTGAATGCTCTGTATAAATAAATCGGTATTGTATTGTATTCACTTTAGCGTTGCTCCATCTAGTGGATGCATAACGCAACCGCAGCCACTTTTGTAGCTTCTATTCTATGCGCCTTATAATGCGGTGCGCCCTATATATGAAAACGGTTTTAAAATAGGCCATTCATTGAAGCTGCGCCTTATACTCCGAAGCGCCTTATAGTGCGGAAAATACGGTACTTGGACTTCGTAACGTCTCACCACTGACAATCAAATGAGACGGGGCGGGGCACACCAACCTGACAGCAAAGATGTGGCTGAGGCCGTCCATGACGCTGTTGAGTTTATTCTGCAGTTCTTTCAGGAAGTCACTTGCCTCCACATTGAGCTAGAAAAATTCAAATGGGGGGAGGAATAAATAGACTCCATGCGGATCAGAAGATCGTCTGAATCGGGCTGCTACTCACATCTTTTCCTCCCATTGCCTCAAACATTTTTTCCAGCTGAACTCGGAGTTGCTGGATATTGTTGATGATGATACATGGCTGCAGATACAAAAAAGAAAAAAAAAAAGAAGGAAAAAAAATCAGTCCATATACGTTTAGGATTCACTCTTCATCTGCATGCAGCCAATGCTTGGCTGCAAATCAGTCCGTTCTAGCCCTTGTGAAAAAAGAAAAAAAAAAAAAAAGTCAGCAGGGCAAGAAAAGCTGGAGATTGCACTAATTAAATCGTCCTCCGAGGCTGCGGTCTCTCTGGGAGTGCCACCCGCTTTTGCTCAGCTTATACAACATTCAGCTAATTACACAGAATTAATTCAGTTTGAAACACCGCAAGCTGGCCGTGTCAATTACACTCTCAAGAGGCGGGATTTGTGCTGCTGGAAATTCCACATTGCCGCAAACTCTAATTGCCATCATCGGTAATAAACCAGGATTTAGTATAAAGCTCTCGTATTGGACCTCCGTCGATCGGTGGTCGTCAAAACTTTTGACACCAAGTAGCGTCTAACAAAAACTTCATGCCCAAGATTGACCCGAGCATAGTAGACCTGCGTGGAAGAAAGAAAAGGATTGCTAGACCGTGTCTGTGAGATGAATGCTGACGGTTGAGAGAAACGCTAGTTGGATGCTTTCTTTGGCAACATGAACCGTTTATTCTTACAATAAAGAGGTTATTGATCGACCGCCGTCTGTCTCCATTTCAGTGTGTAAGCGGACGCTACGGTCTGTCCGTCTTTTTCACTGTCACAGGAGAGCGTTTGGTGAATTTGCTGACGGCTGACGCGAGGATTTCAGACCGCTCGTCATCTAGCGTCTCGTCAGATGGCTGCGAGCCATGCCCAGTTGTGCATTTGGTCAGATTTGAGGCGAGACTTGCAGATTTTGCTCGTGACATATTTTTGTTCATTTTCAGGAAAAGTTATTGCCGCACGCTGTGCCGCCTCGTGCGCTAAATGTCATCACGGAGTAATGCGGTCGTAGCATCGACCCGACTGAGTGTTTGTCTTGACACTCACCACCTTCTCCTTCTTGACATGATTTGGAAATTCCTTCGCGATGATGTCGGCGTAAGACAGCAGAACATTGCCAATGGTCTAAGCAAGAGAAATAGAGTTAAAAAAAAAAAAGAAGAAGAAAATAGGACCATGTTATAGAAGATGTCTGCAGATAGCATGAGGAGGTGAAGGTCACCTTGGCGAATCTCTTCATGTAGTTGCCAACAATCTGGGGGTCGGGACACTCCAGTTTGCGGATGATTTCGAAGCTCTGATTGAGCTGAGAGAACACATCCACCACCGAGCACGAGAACAAAGCGTGTTCCGAAGTGACTTGGAACTGCACGACAAGACGAAAAAGAGCAAGCGCTTAACAGGAGGAGGTCCGATCCCCAATTAACCCTTTCGGGGGCAGCGATCACTCCAGTGGACAGCTTCTCATGTTATCAGATTACAGGTTATTATTATTATTGGCGCATGAAAGGGTTAAACAGCCCCTGAAGCGAGCTTTTCTCTTTTTCCGGCTCCATTCGCTTCAATGATGCAAGCGGCCTCCATCGAAGAGATTGGAATGTGCGGTAGAAGGGTTTCTTTTGCCATTCGCCTCTGGTAGCGACTCATTATTGATTGCCTGCGGGGTCTTCAGCCTGAGCATCCTATGTGCTGAGTCGGCTGCGAATTACCTGAATTGCCACGAGACGTGCATGAATACATTATCGGGGGTCAAATCTGAATAGCTTTCACATTTTACTGCTGACGATTGAAAGTTTTCCGGGACAGTTTTTTTTTCTCCACATATTTATAGCGCACTAACATATTCTTAGGATGTTTCTAAAATTAAGCGCGTAGTCTTGTGTGTTGGGTTTTCGGCGCTTCAGAGCATTTTGCAGAGATGAAAATAATGAAAGACTAAAAGTGCTTACGCCGTCTTTTTTGTCCCTCTCCAGAGCACCGTGGAGAAAATCTCTGGATACTTCCTCGTTTTCATCCAACCACATGATGACAAATGGCTCAAACCATCTGCAGTGGAAATATAACCGGGGGGGGAGACATGATTTGTTGCCGCATGCTACTTAAAGTAGGTCCTTGGCTAAAAAGTACTCACGCCGGATATTCAGGTACATGTTTCTGGAAGGTGGGCAATTCCTTGCAGTACTCATTATAAAGCCACTTCACCTTGAAGTGCAAGTTCATATAATCGGCACTTTTACACAGACGGTGCTTCTCATGTTCTAAATACAGAAAGAGAAAAAGACGGAAGGGGAGGGAGGAAAACCTTTTTTATATGACACTCCCAAACGCGCACAAGTGTCCCATCCTTCCCATTCTGCTGTTCATGTCATTCAAGCGGCGCTGACCTTCCATGGCGTATTTCATGTCTTGAGCAAACATATTCCACATGACCTCAGCGCTGATCTTGCCCACATTTAATTCCTGTGGAAACCTAGAAGAAGAAACACGACGCTCAAACTAAATCCATCAATGAATAAAGAATAGCTACTATACTATGTACTATTACACACATATAGTTTTTTGAGCCACAAACAAAATGTGAACACATGAAACAGACTCACTGATTAAGGCAAGGTGTGTAGGAATTTTTATCCTCCTCTATAATGGAAACAATGAGCGTGATGAGTTTGGACCAGAAGTCCAGGTTCTTGACACTCGGACCCTGCTCATCTGGAGGGACCGCCTTTGACTGGGGACGGGAAGGGCCACACCTTCACGTTAGTAAGCAGCGGCCCATTTGTATTCTTCACAAAGTGTTTTTTTTTAAGGTTTTAACATGTCAGAAGGTGAAAAATCTTTTGAGTGTGAATTAAATGCAGATGTGCAAACTTACAGGATCCGTCTGATATTCCCTATTGTAGAGGTCGTGACAGTTGTTGAAGATGTATTCATAGGTGGAATTGAGGCAGGCTTTCACACAGTCCTTCACAACCTGGCTGGCTCGGGGGGGACTTTGTAGTTCCTGGACCTAAAAGGAGGAGCTCGGTGAAAAGCCACAAAATGTGCTCATAGCCAGTCTAAGCGAAGCAACTAGTACACACGTTTCAAAACAACAATGCGCTAACTAATTTCAAGAACGTTTGCTTCTCTCTCCGATAGTTTCCATTTGGATAGGCTAATGTAAG